TGGACACGTCCCTCAGAAACATCCCTGAGACAAATGTCCCTCAGACAAATGTCCCTTGGACACGTCCCTCAGAAACATCCCTGAGACAAATGTCCCTCAGACAAATGTCCCTTGGACACGTCCCTCAGAAACATCCCTGAGACAAATGTCCCTCAGACAAATGTCCCTTGGACACGTCCCTCAGAAACATCCCTGAGACAAACGTCCCCCAGAAACGTCCCTGAGACAAATGTCCCTCAGAAACATCCCTCAAAAATGGTCTTGTTCCAGTTGGACTTAATGGTTGGACCTGATGATCTAGGAGGAAATTCTTCCTGGGAGGGTGGGGAGAGCCCGGGCCAGGGAAGCTGTGGCTGCCCCATCCCTGGAAGTGTCCAAGGGCAGGTTGGATGGGGCTTGGAGCAACCTGGGCTGGTGGGAGGTGGCCCTGCCCATGGTGGGGGTTGGATCTAGATGGTCTTTGAGGCTCCTCCCACCCAAGTCATTCCATAACTCCATGATCTTATGATCTCAAAGGTCATTTCCAACCCAAACAATTCCAGAATTCCATGACTCTATGACCTCAAAGGTTGTTTCCAACCCAAAAAATTCCAGGATTCCATGATTCTATGATCTCAAAGGTAATTTCCAACCCAAACAATTCCAGAATTCCACAATCCCTTGATTCCAGAGGTCGTTACCAACCCCAGTAATTCCATAACTCCATGATCTTATGATCCCAAAGGTCATTACACCCCAAATCATTCCAGAATTCCATGACTCTATGATCTCAAGGGTCATTTCCAACCCAAACAATTCCAGGATTCCATGATCCCATGATCTCAGAGGTCATTTCCAACCCAAACAATTGCAGAATTCCATGATTCTATGATCTCAAGGGTCATTTCCAACCCAAACAATGCCCTAATTCCATTATCCCATTATCTCAGAGGTCATTACACCCCAAATAAGTCCATAATTTCCAGTTTCTATGATCTCAGAGGTCATTTCCACAAGGGTCATTTCCAACCCAAACAATTCCAGGATTCCATGATCCCATGATCTCAGAGGTCATTTCCAACCCAAAAAATTCCAGGATTCCATGACTCTATGACCCCAGAGGTTGTCACCAACCCCAGTCATTCCATCACTCCACCATCATTTCCACCCCTGAACCTCCAGTCCTGCAACCAGATCAGCCCAGACCTGGAGCAGGAAACCTTGGCTCTGCTCAGAGCTGGAAATGCCTCCAACTCATTAGCAGGGAAAAGTTCATTAATGAGGAGCTAAACGATCTGGCCCTGATCTTTGGAAGCTGCCAGAAGCTCTTCTGCAGCTGCCAGGTCTGGAATGAAAAGGAAGGAGGGAAGAGGAAGGAAAACAGGGAAGAGAGGAGATGGGAGGTTGGAGAGGATCCAAAAAGCTCATCAAATTAGAGCCAGTTGATGAAGCAATTAAGGGTTTTGAGGAGAATGATTGGACATTAGAGACAAACCTTGGGCAGCTGCAGCTCCAAATGGCCCCGCAGGGAAGGCAGGAGGAGGAGGAGGAGGAGGAGAAGGGGGGGTTGGAGCTCAGGTTTGTGCAGCTCAAGAGCTACACCTAGAGGTCCTGGCATCTCCTGAGGGTCCTGAAGGAACCACAGGTGGGATGTGATGGAGCTGGGAGGGGCTGGTTCTTCTTGGGGTGGCTGAGGGGGTTGGGGGTTTTTGGGGGTGGGGAGATGATGTTGAGGGGGTGGAGAATTTGAGAATAGTCACTTATTATTGAAGGATCTTAACTTAGACTTAAGAATCTTAACTTATAACTTGAGAATCTTAACTTATAATTAAGAATCTTAACCTATAACTTGAGGATCTTAACCTATATACTTAAGAATCTTAACCTATAACTTGAGAATCTTAACTTATACTTAAGAATATTCACTTAGAGCTTGAGACTCTTCACTTAGAATTTGAGAATATTAACTTATTATTTAAGAATCATAACTTACAGCTTGAGAATCTTAACTTATACTTAAGAATCTTAACCTATAACTTGAGAATCTTAACTTATAATTAAAAAATATTAACATAGACCTTGCAAATATTAACTTATAAACTGAGAATATTAATGAATAGCCTGAGAATCTTAACTGCTAATTAAACATATTAACTTACACCTTGAGAATCTTAACTTATAATTAAACATATTAACTTACACCTTGAGCATCTTAAGTTAATACTTTGAGAATATTAACTTAGTATTTCAGAATCTTAATTTATACTTAAGAATCTTAACTTACACCTTGAGAGTCTTAACCTATAACTTCAGAATCTTAACCTATAACTTAAGACCCTCAAGTTATACTTAAGAATCTTAACCTATCACTTGAGAATCTTAACTTACACTTAAGAATCTTAACCTATCACTTGAGAATCTTAACTTATACTTCAGAATCTTAACCTATAACTTAAGACTCTCAAGTTATACTTAAGAATTTTAACTTACACCTCGAGGGTCTTAACTCATACTTAAGAATCTTAACCTATAACTTGAGAATCTTAACTTATACTTAAGAATCTTAAACTATAACTTGAGAGTCTTAATTTGTACTTCAGAATATTCACTTATAATTAAAGAATATTCACTTAGAGCTTGAGAATCTTCACTTGGAATTTGAGAATATTCACTTATTATTTAAGAATCTTAACTTACAGCTTGAGAATCTTAACTGATACTTAAGAATCTTAACCTATAACTTGAGAATCTTAACTTATAATTCAAGAATATTGACACAGGCCTTGCAAATATTAACTTATAAACTGAGAATATTAATGAATAGCCTGAGAATCTTAACTGCTAATTAAGCATATTAACTTACACCTTGAGAATCTTAACTTATAATTAAACATATTAACTTACACCTTGAGCATCTTAAGTTAATACTTTGAGAATATTAACTTAGTATTTCAGAATCTTAATTTATACTTAAGAATCTTAACTTATAACTTGAGAATCTTAATTTCTAGATTGAGAATCTTATAACTTGAGAGTATTAAATTGGAGAATCTTAACTTATAACTTAAGATTCTTCATTTATAACTGGAGAATCTTAATTTATAACCTGAGAATCTTAAGTTATAACTTGAGACTATTCACTTATAACCTGAGAATCTTTACTAATAACTTAACATTCTTCATGTATAACTGGATAACTTAACATTTTTAATTTATAACTTGAGAATATTAACTTATAAGTTAATATTCTAAAACTATAACCTGAGATTCTTCACTTTTAACCTGAGATTCTTCACTTTTAACCTGAGATTCTTCACTTTTAACCTGAGATTCTTAATTTACACCTTAAGAATCTTAACTCAGACCTTGAGACAAACACAGAGGAGGTGTTTTTTTTTCCCCACCACCTCCCAGGCCACGTTTCCATTTCAGGCCTGAAGAGGAAAGAAAAAGCCCAACCCAGGAGGAACCACCTCAGCACCTTCTCCAGATGTTCTGCTTCTTCTAAGAGAAGCACCAAGATCTCCCTGGAGGCCAAAGGAGGAGAAAGAATCCAAACCAGAGCTTGAAACATTTCACTGGAGAGAGGGTTTTATTTTCTGCTCAACTGGGACTGTACAACTGGTTTGTACTGGACCAACAAGCTGGGATTTTGGGGTGTTTTCTCCTCCCCGTTTTGATTTTGCTGAAGATGAGGCAACACAAGAGTGAAAAGAGGGACTTACAGGGTGGAAACCACGAGTGGATGGAGAGGAGCTGGAGGAAAAGCAACCAAGAGGTCCAAGAGCCTTCCAGTTGGAGCTGGGAATCCACAATCCAGTCCACCCTGTGGGATCCATGGAGTAAGTTCAGGCTGGGATGGATGCAAGAGATGGTGACGTGGGTGGCTCCTGATCTTCTTGTGGTGGCAACTCCTGGGGCTTCTGGCTTGGGTTGGGGAGCAAAAAGGCATCTTCAAGTTGGAGTCAGAGCAATAGGAGTGAAGGGAGGTCCTGGTGGGGACAGGGGGAGGGATCCTGGTGGGGACAGGGGGAGGGATCCTGGTGGGGACAGAGGGAGGGATCCTGGTGGGGACAGAGGGAGGGATCCTGGTGGGGACAGAGGGAGGGATCCTGGTGGGACCAGAGGAGGGATCCTGCTGGGGACAGGGGGAGGGATCCTGGTGGGGACAGGGGGAGAGATCCTGGTGGGGACAGAGGGAGGGATCCTGGTGGGGACAGAGGGAGGATCCAGGTGGGGACAGCAGGAGGGATCCTGGTGGGGACAGGGGGAGGGATCCTGGTGGGGACAGAGGGAGGGATCCTGGTGGGGACAGGGGGAGGGGTCCTGATGGGGACAGGGGAGCTATGGACGGACATGGAGGTGCCCCACGTTGAGCTGGCTCCTGGTGTGAGATCTTCTCAAGAAGATCCTTCTTCTGGCCACACTCATGGCTTTGATCAACCAGTTCTACAAACCAGCAGGGTTGGGCTGCAGCCAAAACCACCCTGATGGGTTTTGGGTTCCAAACGTGTGGGAAGAGCCAAGCAGGGAGGGGTTTGGGAAGGTCCTTCCGTGGTAGCATCAGAGGTCAAGGTCACCTTGGCTGCAATAAATACTCTCCAGGGGTTGGGAAGCACTTGAGGTGTCACCCTCCAGCAGTGACAATTCCTGGAGCCATGTCACTCCTCATTCTAGCAGCCTTTTGGAACCTTCTCTCTGCTGCTGAAGGATCCTCCTTTTGTCTGATCTTGGGGGGGGGACACCTTCTCTGCCCTGGGCTGACCAAGCATCTCTGCAGGTGGCCAGAAAAACCATCATCTCAGGTGCCACAGAAGATGCTGAGATACAAAATGAGTTGGGTTTGCTTGGGTTGTTGTGGGTTTTTTTCCACTTTTCTTGAACATTGGACATGAAGTGCAGGGTTGGAGTAGGTTTGGTTGGGTCTTCTTCTTTTTTTGGGGTGGTTTTGGTTGAGTTTTTGCTTTTCCTTTTCTTCCCCCTCAGCCTTTTTTCCTTCCCAGGTGGCACCCAAAGGCACTTCACTCCGTGCGTAGGATGATGTGGATCCCTGAGTCTGTGAACACTGGGCCACTCATCTCACCAGTCCTCAGAGCAAAGGAGGCATCTTCAAAGGGTTTCTGCATCTGACCTGTGGAGAGGAGACACCAGAGAAAAGGTCCATTCAGCCCAGGAATGAAGATCTTCCTCCAGTTTGGACGCATCCAAGTGGAAACGGGGAGGTGGAGGTTGGAGATGAGGAGGAAATTGTTCCCTCTGAGGGTGGGGAGAACCTGGAGGTGGTTTTCTGGAGATGTTGTGGGTGATGGGAGTGGCCAAGGGGAGGCTGGAGCAACCTGGGCTGCTGGGAGGTGGCCCTGCCCACGGTGGTGGTTGGGACTGGATGATCTTCAGATCATGGGATGGTTTGGATTGGAAGGGACCTTAAAAAGCACCTGGATGTTCCACTAGACGGTCTTCAAAGTGGTTCCTCCATCCCTGGAAGTGTCCAAGGGCAGGTTGGAGCCACCTGGGCTGCTGGGAGGTGGCCCTGCCCATGGAGGGGGTTGGATCTAGATGAGGTCCCACCAATCCAACCCATTCCATGAGTGTGGGGGCAGGAGGGCAGGGAGGTTCTCCTGCCCCTCTGGGGGACACACATCTGGAGAAATACCCAGAACATCACTCTGTTCCCTGAGGATGTTGACTCAGACCAAGTTCTGACCCCTGAGGGACACCACTTACCTCAGGCTTCCATCTCAACCCTTCTCCATTGACCACAACCCCCAGAGCTCCACCAACTAAGGAGCTCCTGACCCACCTCATTATGATTTGATGATTCTAATTGAAAAAATAACAAGAGGTCTCCAAACCTTGAGCTGGAACTCACCTCTCCCAAAGGCTCCCAGATCTCCTCCAGCTTTTGCTGAGCTGCAATCACTGAACTGAGAAGCCAGAGACTCAAAATCTTCTTCTCCTGACTTGATCTTCTGGATGTAACCTGGAAAAAAAAGGAATCAATCCATCAGGAAGGGAAAAAAAAGAGGATAAAACACCCCAAAACCACCTCAAATCTGACCAAGAAGGACAAAAAAAACTCCACGTCTATCTCCAAACCTTCTGGATGATGAAAGAAACTTGAAGAACAACCCAAAAAATGCACCAAAACCTTCTCTTTTCTTTCCAAGGTTTTTTTCATCTGGTTTAATTTAAGCTTCAATTCAAAGAAAAATCCAATTATTGCACCTTCTCCTGCCCCTGGAGCACAAGAACTTCTTAGTGGGCTTCAAAACTCAGGAGGAACTTGGGGTTTCAAGAAGGTTTGGTGGGAATTCAGGTCCAAAAAACCTTCCCAGGAGTGAATGAATTGTCCAAAAAAAGCTTTTTGAAAAGGTGAAGTGAAAATTGTTTTAAGTCTTCAGATCATCTAACCCTGCTCTGAACCTTCCTGGAAGGTTCTTGGAGAGGAAGGTTGAGAATCAGAGCATGTTGGGGGTTGGAAGGGACCTCTGGAGATCACTGAGTCCAGGAACACCCAGGATCGTGGCCAGATGGGTCTTGGAAGCCTCCAGAGCAGGTGACTCCACAGCCTCTCTGGGCAGCCTGGCCCCGGGCTCTGCCACCCTCATGGTCAAGAAGTTCTTCCTCATCTTGAGGTGGAACTTCCTGGGCTCCAGTTGGTGCCCATGGCCCCTCCTGCTGTCACAGGGCACAAGTGACAAGAGGTTGTCCCCTCCTTCTTGACACCCACCCTGCAGATATTGACAGATGTTCATCAGGTGCCCCCTCAGGCTTCTCCTCTCCAGACCAAACAGCCCCAGGTCTCTCAGCCTTTCCTCAGCAGATGTTCCAGTCCCTCCATCATCCTTGTAGCCTCCCTTGGAGTCTCTCCACTCAATCCCTGTCCCTCTGGAACTGGGGAGCCCAGCCCTGGACCCACTTCTCCAGATGGGCCCTCACCAGAGGGGCAGAACCTCCCTGCCCTCCTGCCCACACTCTCCTTGATGCCCCCCAGGATTCCATGAGCCTTCTTGGCCACCAGGGCCCATTGTTCCCTCATGGATCACTTCTTGACCACCAGGACCTTCTCCATGGAGCTGCTCTCCAGCAGGTCACCTCCCAGCCTGTCCTGGTCCATCTTGTCCCTCCCCAGGTGCAGGACCCTACACCTGTTGGACCTCATGAGGTTCCTCCTTGCCCAGCTCTCCAGGTCTCCTTGAACCTTCTTACCACCTCCTGGTGGATCAACCAACCCTCCCAGTTTGGGATCCTCATGGAACTTGCTGGGAAGACCCTCTGTCTCATCATCAAGGTCACTGTCCTCCTTCTGAGGAGACTGGGAGGGAGGGGGGATGATACTGCCCAATCATCAGCTTGATTAAGTGATTGGGGAGCCATTAATTTAATTTAATGACTAATTAAATTACGGGTCTCTCAGGGGACCCAAGAGACACTGACACGACCACCCAAGGGTTGGTTTCCACCAAGTCATTGAGACCACCTGGTGTGTTTTCACACCAGCTTCACCTCATTCATTAGAATAATTATTAATTGTTATAATTTGGTGATTAATTAATAATTAGAATCTCAAGCCAACCCACAGACACCCACAGGATGACCCTAGATCCAACCCCACCATGGGCAGAGACACTTCCCACCAGCCCAGGTTGCTCCAACCTGCCCTTGGACACTTCCAGGGATGGAGGAACCACCTTGAGGATCATCTATGGATCATCTAGGGGGTCTTCAAGACTCCTTCCAACTCAAACCATCCCATGGTTTGAAGATCAGCGAGTTCCAACCCCACCAGGTTGCTCCAAGCTCCATCCAACACTTGGACACTTCCATCATCCACAACTTCTCCAGGAAACCTCTTCCAGGGTCTCCCCACCCTCAGAGGGAAGAACTTCATGGAATCATGGGATGGGTTGGGTTGGAAGGACCTCAAAGATCATCTAGATCCAACCTCCTGCACGGGCAGAGACACCTCCCAGCAGCCCAGGTTGCTCCAAGCCCCATCCAACCTGCCCTTGGACACTTCCAGGGATGGAACTTCCACAACTTCCCTGTTCCAGGCTCTCACCACCTCACAGATGACCCTGAGCAACCCTCCTGTGGGACCTGCAGAACCACCAGGTGCTCAGGCCTAGTCAGGGTGGGTTGATGAAGGGCAGGTCCTCTTTGACCCACCTCCTCTCCTCCTGTGCCAGGGTGACCTGCTGATGGGAGGAGGGAAGGGCTGTGGGGAGGATCAGAGAGTCATCAAGGGTGGAAAAGACCTTCAAGGTCATCAAGTCCAACGTGATGATCCAGCAACCCCCAAGCACTGAACCCTCTCCCTCAGCACCACGTCCACCTGTGTTGGAACATCTCCAGGGATGGTGCCTCCATCCCTTCCCTGGGCAGCCTGTTCCACCAAGGCCTCCCCACTCCTTCTGGGAGGAAACTTCCTGATGTCCAAGGGCCCAAAACTGACCCCAGTGCTTGAGATGCAACCTCACCAAGGCTGAGCTGAAGGGCAGGATCACCTCCCTGGTCCTGCTGGTCACACCATTCCTGATGCAGACCAGGAATGTTGGTGGCCTTCTTGGTCACCTGGACATCCTGGTGGCTCAAGATCAGCAATCAACACCCCCCTGATGTTGTCTACCTTGACTTTAGCAAGGCCTTGGACACAGCATCCTCCTGGAGATGCTCATGGTTTGGGTGGACACACACTTGGTTGGGTTAACAACTGGTTGGATGGTTGGGTCCAAAGAGTTGTGTCCCATGAGGTTCAATCCAGTTGGGGGCTGGTCAGGAGGGGTGTTCACCAGGGCTCAGTGCTGGGATGAGGAGATCAAGGGGACCCTCAATCAGTTTGTAGGTGACATCAAGTTGGGAGGGAGTGTTGATCTGCTTGAGGGTAGGAGGGGTCTGCAGAGGGACCTGGATAGGTTGGATCCATGGGTTGAGGCTCCTCAGAAGGATCTGGACAGGCTGGATCCATGGGTTGAAGCTCTGGAGAAGGATCTGGACAGGCTGGATCCATGGGTTGAGAGATCTGGACAGGTAGAATCAATGGGTTGAGGGATCTGGACAGGTTGGATTCATGGGTTGAGGATCTGGACAGGTTGGATCC